GTCGTGGCACGACTCAACCGCGATAAGGATACGCGCGCGTATCCACCCACACGTTCCGCGCGTGTTTACCCTCCTACGTATGAGCTTTGATGCCATTCGCGCCCGGGCTACGTGTCTACTGAATGGAAGATGAACGCTCGACGACCGGATGCTAAATTCCGAGACGCTCCTGTCCTCGTTAATACATTCTTTTTCTTCTCAACTGCCCAGCTAAAATTGCATTCTTGCTACGCTCGACTGGTTGAAAAGAGGAATTCAGAGATGATTGTTTTGCCCGCGCGCTACATTAAATTTAGTGAGCAAAGAAACGCGATGGGAGACTCTGATCTACAAAAGTCCGCGAAACGATAATGAAACGTAAAGTAGAAGCGAGTTGCGCGGAGGGATTTGCGCAGTCAGTTGCCGGCAGAATGCCGGTGCAGGCTACTTAAATTAAAGACAGCTTTACGAGGAACGGTGCCCGATAACAAGAGGAAACGCGCAAGGTTTGCCTCCTACTGATTAATTGCAATTACGTCGGTTAGGTATTCGAAGACGCGATCAGCTTCCGGCTGCGAGAATGGGCTACCTTTGACAATTAAGTTACTTAATGCGCACAGCCGTCCGTGAAATCGCTGCTCGCGCTACGTGGCGGCAACGGAAACGCAATGCTAGCAATAATTAATATTCCCGGAACGTAGCAGCGGCTCGTCTTGGAGAGAATAAAACAGGCTGCTTTAATGCATCAGAGAAGGCGGCGGCGGTGGTTCGTCGCGCCACTACCTTAGCTCGAGAATCGTTATCGTTGCAATCGATTCTCCGCGATACGACAATGCTCGCCGGTTTACGATTTTATCGCCACTTATTTCCGTTCAATCACGACGTACTCGCAACTATAAAGCAGACAATATAATTAATGCAGGCTTGCGTCTATAAAATTTAGCGACTGCCGTTTCATTTTATTGGAGGACGCAATTATCGTTTTCGTCTGTGATCGATCGTAAATACTTCTTGCGATACTATTTTTCTAGTTTTCTACCGATAGGCAAGAATACGACGATCATTAAAATACGTACCGTGAATAAGTTCTCGCCTTGGGTAGCAAACACTTGTAAACTATTCCGTCTTCTAAGAATAGACGTATCGGTTACGCTCGTTACACCCTAGTATCATCATTATTTGGAACAAGCAAGGATTCCTGAGAAACCCTCGGAAATCTGTCATGTTCGGTGTTGGATCTGTTCTGAAGAGAAACAGAAAAAGCCGCGATTTTCGAAGGACCACCGATCACGGTTCCCGTCAAGTATATCTTGACGCGTGTATATTAGGGAGTCAGCCAACAGATCTGACTTTCAGATCTTCTCCGGAGAGGGGCGGAGGAAACGGACGCGAAGGGGTTAATCGCCCCGCTATAAATTACTAGGCTTGATGCATTGCTTGCGCGGTTGGTTGGTCTACTGAGCTACGCTCTTTGATATATGCATATATGCCTCCACACATGCACCGGATTGCTCGCACGCCTGTGTGCACCTGGACTCGGACCGCGTGACGCGACGTAAGACGTGTTACGCGCGCCGACGTGTCTCTATTCTGACGCAGGACACCTGCTTGATGCACGCGTCGTCCTGTTACGTGAAATCGGGCCGACACGCACCTCCGACTGTTATTCTTAAATTTGTATATCTATGAAAGTATCCTAACAGATAACTAATTGGATGCAGGTCCTTAAGATTTCCTTCGAGGAACATCGATCGTTATTTTAACTTCCGATTTTAATCGCAGGTTATTGTTACGCCTTTTATTACTTTTAAACTCAAATATCGCTTGAGGAAACGCGGTGCACAACAATACGATTTCGTTTAGCAGTAAATAATTTCTTTCAATCGAACCATCTCCCGATTCCGGTTCTCTTCCAAGTTCCATCGACTCTATTTCCTCCGATATCATTCCATTGCTACACACCGACGTAGCGCCGCGCCGTTTCCCTATACTTTGACTTCTCCCGATACGTACCGGTTTTTCCATACAGCGAACCACTTTAGCGTTATTTGGCCTCCGCAGGGAGAAGAAGAACCACAGAAATTTCGTTGCCGCCGCGTTAAGTGCGAAATTATTCAGACAAAGGCGATACGATCTTTCCCGAGCGTGTAGCTCGGTAAGATTGCATTCCGAGCATTATGTAGAGGCCGGAGTGTGTCGAGGTGCGTGATGTACGAGCAAGAATCTACGATTGCTTTTGCAGCACCGGGGGACCCGGGTAAACCTCGATGTCTCCCTCGGCGCTTTCGGTGTATTACCGGAAGCAATTATGACTGCATGTTCTTTCCGGTCATAGATAACGACGATTCTCGCCCTCGTTCCTTCGTGAAGAATGATCGTCGCGTTTAACCCTTTAACGCGTTAAAAGCACCACCACCAGCCTGACGGTCTACTCGTTATTAGCAATCATTCCTAATTCCTGCCGCGGTACGATCGTAACTAATGTTCATCAACAATATTTGCATGTGGACCACAAAGACACGGGCTGAGCAAACGATTACCATCGCGATGGTATTTAATCGTGGAACTTCAATTTTACGATTTCACTTTGATTGCCACAACGCAAAGTAAACTTCTCCGCTTTGCTTTAACTCCGACGTAACCTCGGTACAGGGATTTACTTTGCGCACACCATCGTTGCGTCAGCCTTCGCCTCTTCTATCCCACCATATTTTTCCACTGAAAACCTTGGCGCCCGGGTATCTCCGGTTTTTACTCGCAGCGCAGCCGACAAAATTGTCCGCCAAAAAAATAATGCTAATTATACCGCACCGACGACGCAACGTCGCGACACCTCTCGAATTCTCAAGGGAAATTATACGTCGACATCTCCTCTTTGAAATTAAATACTTCCATCGACCCCGTGTCACGTCGTCCAGTTCGCTGATAATATTGAGAAGCGGAACTTTAGAAGGAAACAACCGAGGAATTTCAGTCGCTGAGGCTTATCAATCGCGGCTCTTTAAAAACCGTTTACCGTTTGCGAAGATCGCATTTAGATAGCTAATAGGGAGCGGGAGTAACTTTTACGGCTGTACGATATCTCAGCACCGTGATCTCGTTCTTAACGCGAGATCCGGGCTCGGTAGAAAAAAAAAAAAACTTTGTAGGTCGCTCGTTCACCGTCCAGCGAAATGACTCAAAGCGCGGCCTGAATCATCGCATAACGAAGCACGCGTCTGTTCCATTAAATGATTTTTTTTTTCTAACGTGTTGGCGTGTTACGTGCCACCAAAATGCGCGTGGTCACGTTTTACCGTATTTTTTCCCTCCGGTTTTTTTTTTGTTCACTTCTCTGCACAGTTCGTAACATTTATTTGCCAGCGGAAAAGCACAAATTGCGTCGGTCGCTGGTGCGGAATATGAAATTAGTCAGACTGCGAAATTCTGTAGAATTATTGATGATTAATTTAATACACAATTATCGATTGCGTTTCGCTTGTTGAAAAATATCGAATAAAAGAGAGATGGAATTATAGCATTAAACTGCGTGTGAATTTCGTGGGACCGTTAGTGAATGATATAACAGCATTACTAATTGCACTTTGCTAATTGCCGAAACGTTGAAAGCATGAAAGCAATACTTCATCCTACGCTTTGCACAAGAGACTTCTCCGAGAAAGACAAATTCAGTCCTTATCGCTTTTTCAGAGAATCGGCCACTATTTGATGATGTAACCTTTGCGAGTTAATGAAGAGCGGGCGCATATACATATAATTAGTTAGATTTAGTGGAACGCGCATGAAAATGAGGGAATATTTAATGTAATTTTCCGATTCTCTGGCGCGTAAAATGGGAATATTGTTAGTTTTCGTATTGTTCGCTGATTAATTACCTCGTGACTAACGTCATTGCAAGTAAAAAACCCGGACAAAGGGTGCACTTCTTTTTACCATTGAATTTCATTGTTAAAGAGAGGATAATAGGAGAGCCCTATTGCGAATTTCCACGAGACGACCGACAAGCAACCACGGCACGAGACGTTCCATTGCGAAGCCGGCCGTCTAAACAGCTATGATATCCTGTGAGTATCCGTGTTTGCACAGCTATTCACGAAATGTTGCCCTTCTCTTCATTTTTTACACTTCTTTGTATACTATTTACACGGTTTTTGCACTCGCCGTCTGGAACATCAGATTTTATTGCGTTCTCGACCTCTTTCCACCGGACAGACGCGCCAGCCGCGCTTTCAAAAAGTCCGTTTTCGCAAATTATTCGAAGCGTTCGCGCGTGCGTTTGATCCTGACGTGAAAGGACGAGGAGAAAGGGTGAATACAACGAAAGAGGTATTGAGTAAAAAGAACCGGTCTGAGAAATTCATGTAAGAGACCCATGAGCAGAATCCAGTTGTTCCACTCGAAACTTTCTCTCGGGTCCCGTCATCCCTCGAATCCCATTTTCAATGTCCAGAAGCTTTACGATCTGGATCGTACGCGGCGAACTTTCTATAACTTTTCCCGCTCGCGTGCATGGAGAACGATACACGTACGTACCCACGGACAGGACACTGCGAAAGGGCGACGCGAATTTCCATCCGGACGATTCAATCTCTAGCAGCGACAAAAAAATCGCGTGCACTTCGTGTTCGCGATGCTTTTCTCTGGGTATCGAACATTCGACGGAAAAATGTGGTTTCCTTCGAACCTTGTGGCGGAGAAATTGAAACGTTAAAATGCCCTGTGGAAAGAATGCGATCCGATCTCCCCATTTCGAGGTAGTATCTCTTTATACGTCGGTTTTACTTGAGGATTCCTCCGTCATTTTTCATTCCACGCGTAACGAAGGAATCGGATTTCATCTATTGTCGCTTCGCGATAAGCCGATACGTTACTAATGAATCCAGCCTTATTAATTTTCATTTCGTTCGATTTTCACGTCGAAACGGAACTATTATGTTAAATGTAAAAGGGAACGCGACATTACAAATACGAGTTTGAACAAAACCTGAAGTACGCTTCTGTGCATGAATTTTTTTACTTACGGGTGGGTGCTCAGTTAGTTGCTGCTTTATTAAACAGGATGTAGGTATCTGTAACAAAGAGAAGGACGTCATAAAGCCGTATTCGAAATAATTGGAAACTCGATTCATTTTTTAAATTCTCATCTGGCTGCATATTGAAACCGGAATCGCTATTAGCTTTTATTAGTTCTACATAGTAAAGGTTATTTCAGAGTATATCCAACCGACTGCGACAGAATTCCAATCGAGTCTTAATCGGAACCATGGTCTGCTCTCGTTCTAATCGGCAATAGCGAATATAACGAAGCCAGGAATAAATATAATAATTTTTACATAAACGAAATGCCAGCGTTTTACCATTTGTCTTCGTAGGAACGTCGGAAATGAAATTAAAGGGAAGACGTTCGAGCTTGATATAAATTTGAGATTTCACGGACGACGTCGATCAACGACAGCAGACGTCGCGTCGGTTCGAATTTCTGGAATCTGAAACTCGGCTGGCGTGAAGCGCAACCCGATGTCGCGCCGTGCCGCGTCTTGCCGAAGCGAAACGCGGCGAGACGTTGGAAATTTGCAACGAAGACGGGATAAAATGCGACGTGAACATAAAAATAGCTTCTCCTTTGGTGAATCTATTTACCGTGACTCCGGATAAAGTGTTTTCCCTGGCATTGCGAGGGAAACTTACAGAACGTACCGATACAACATGCTTTCCAATAAACGTAACAAGCGACCAACTAAATATCCAAACAGATTTTTCTCGTCGCTGCAGCATATTTCTTTTATTATTATTTAATGCGATTCCTTGTTATATTCGTTATGCACTGCATGGAAACGTATTTTAGTAAACCATCTCATCGCTTGTCACTGATATAAATTTTAATAGGACTGTGGCCTAAAATTCGTTGATGAAGATAAAATAATAATTCAGTTGGATAGGATTCAGTGGATAGGATTAAGATGAATTTCCATAGTATTTAAATCTGACGGAGGAGGAGATAAAACATGGTACGCGTCGTCGGTTCGCAAAGACGGAACACGGTGCACAATTTTCTGAAAGTAGAATACTTCGACGCCGGACGGCTCTCACCCCTTTTGTACCGGCGATCGACCGTGAATGACATTAACACGGAATTTCGCAACGGAGCAACGGTGAAACCAACCCTCTTATTTCCCCGTCCTATCCCACTTACCGCCCTACGGATCCCAACTACGATCCCATGACCCGCGTCGCCACTTCACGCTGGCCCCATCCACTCCGCTATCCTCTCTGTCCGTTTCCTTGGCTTTGTTTCTCCCTTTATCAAGTTGCTTCCTCCCACCGGCTCCGACCCCCTCCGTCACGGCTCCAGTATCGCTGCGGCGCCGACAATTTTACTGCTCGGGACTCAGGTCGACCAAAGGAATTCCGTGAGTCGGTCTTTTATATCCCTTAAAAAGATTTTCTGTACTTTAATGAAAAAAGCTTTTCCATAGAACCCGCCCGCTACTCGAGACACCATCTTCTTTCTCTGCTCTCCCGACGTCCCTCTGCCCCCTCCGCCCGTCTACGTTCTCCTGGCCTCTTTTCAAATTCTTTTATTTTCTTCCTTCACCATCCAACCACGCATTCTTTCGCCGATCTCGTCTCCCTACATTTCTCTGTACACGTTCGTTTCACTCTGTAAATTTCAGCTTGGACTCGTCTCCCCGTGTCATCGTTCCCGTGTACCCGTTCGCCTGTTTCGGTCACGGTGCCTTTGTTCCCTCTCATTTATCACATATCCACCTGTCTCAGTATTTAACTTTTCTCGTTGCCTCGTCCCCACAAAGAAAATCGCGATAAAAAGAAGGGGTCTTTTTGCTCGACGCTTGCCTGCCTCCTTGTTGTCTTCATTCCTTCGACTTATTTTCTTCTCCTCGTTGCCATCTCTCTTTTCCTCGTCGATAGCTCCCTTCTTTATTCGCAGGTTTCATTCTTTATTTCCAGGCTTCCCCCGGGGCTTCCTCTTTGTTCCCCTTTGCTCCTTTACTCACCACCCGCACTCTTTTCTACGTTTATATTACATGTATCAGCGTGAAATAAACTCCAGTTCGCCTCTATTCTTACCATTATCACTTCTCATATCACTCATCCTTGCATCCTTGCTCCGTGCTACCTTTCTTCAATTTATATTACCTGAATGAATGTATTGAGGTTCTTCTGATACGCCGCGCCGGTATACTTCTCCATGCGTTTGAAAGAGAGCCACCTTCTCAGAAATGTTCTCCCTTAGCCATATCGCGATTTCTCCATAGGATTCATCTTGAGTTCAGAGAGTCCCCTACTCCTCCGTGTCTCGCACAATAATCGTAGACAGCTACGAGCCTACCCGGACGCGTATCACGACTCGGTGTTTCCCCAACTTTGTCACCATCACTGCTCGCGCGCGCTCACTTATCGGTAAAAAAGTAGCTCACTGATAGCGCAGGACAGAGGAACAATGAGAAAGCTGCTCCGGCGACATCCGGAAAAAAGTTCGCGAGAAGAATCTGATAACAAATTTCCAGCACGGTAGAAATGTCTTCGTAATAAATATTTTCTAGCAAAGGTTGAAGCTTTTAATTAACCGGAATTAACTGCATAGCAACAGTAAAGTAGGAAATTGTGAAATAAAGCAATATAAAAATCCTTCATTCAAGGCAAGGTGATTATTGATTGTTTAACTGCGTCCCATCGAACATTCTCCGTTGTTCCGATCGAGTATTCCTGTACACAGGATCGACCGTGAATTCATTCTATTGGCTGCGGTCAGAGGAGTGATTCATGAATGGGAAAATGTACAGAAATGTAACGTCTATTCTTAGTACACGCGGAAATAACCGATACCTCGTTCAGGAGTAGTAATTCGTGTGGAGGAACCGTTTTGGTCGAAGGAAGACATACGGTTCCACCGGACCAGAGTATTAGCTACGTCGAATGGTGCCTACGCTAATGACGAATGTGCTTCAACAACCGTTTACCATGCTCCGTAGCACCATTCCAGAAATTGCCTCCCCGGTACCGGTGCCAGTGTAATTGCCGAGATTCATGGCGATTTTTCAGCCGCGTGTACAAAGGAAGATTGGTGGCGCAAAGTAACGATACGTTTTGCATTGCTATTCATTCCCTGATTTGTTCCTCAGGAATATTTCAACTGTAAGCGTCGGGGATTCTTGCACTGCTTTCTTATAACTGAGTGCAGTCGTTTAGAATCGAAATTTCTTTGTTTTATTAGATGATCATAATAATTAAGTATATTTCTTAATTTATCGAGGAATGTCAAGATAGGTGGGCTCTGCATCAAATTTTAACGATACGTCGTCGATGAATCTCCCGACGACTAATGGGCCACTGGGACTTAGACTATCGATCTGTCGTGTGAGTAGGTGATTTGACGATGATTCGCGTGCGACGTTTCTCCTAATTCAAGATACATTCCGGATGATACTGCGAACAGGTTATGCAATCCCGACAGATACGTTATCGGTGCACGATGGTCCGCAAGTGTAGTAGCGAACGCGGTAGATACTAGTTGCATAAGCCGGACCGTCACGGGTAAAGACGAGAGCCAGGTTAGTGCAAGAGGAGGAGAGAGGTCGAGGAAGGAGGATCTGGCTGGTTGTCACAAACCACGTCGAGTGATCTATGGCTCTAATTAATGGCAATCTCCGGAGGGGGCCCCTAGCTTTCCGCGTGGATTTCAATTATCTCCCATCAGTTCGCTCCTCCGGCCCTGGTTCCCCGGTTCGGTAAACCGATTAAAGTTTTTGCAATCCGGATACAAGAGCCCTCACGGTTCCGATAAAGTGGAACCTCCTCTCCACGGTGACTGAAGTTTGCCAGCCTGCTTGTTACCGTGTCACCGTGATCTGTCCAATAGAGGGGCGTCCGTATAAAAACGTAATCGTTCCCTCGCCCTTTGAGAAAATGCCACTGACAAACGATGAAAATTAGGTACTTGGGGATAACCGAAATTCTCAGCTTATGCAACTAAATTCAATTACTTGCCAATTGTTGCTTACAAGTTTAGTTACCAGCTAGTATGAATCGGCAGTTCGCTGATTCATTGTCTACGAGAAAACTTGAACTTAAGTCTTGATGTGCGTGCGGTTGAAGTCGCGTAGTTAATGATCCTCAGGCGCGTCACAATCAGTTGGCCAAGTTCTGATGTATCGGTTTGCGTAAATGGTACCCGATCCCCATTTCGATTAAGCGCTGCGCTGCTTCATGACCGAAATGCGCCTCAGCGAGTTATGTTTGCGCTGGATAACTTCAATGATTAGAATAGTACGCTAAGGTGGAACGGACGGACTTGAGTTAAGATGAAATATTCATGAGGATGTAACATGCTGTCGTACATGCCTAATGACTTTCACATAATTAATAATTCTGCTCTCGACTATACCCGAGGAGTTCCCGTACCTGTTCGATTACGTCATTTTCAAACGTCGATCAACCTAACGTAAAATTTAAGAACCAGCCCTCTCGCGTTCTCAAAATATAGTTTCGAACTGAAGAAAAGTTCAACAGCCGTTGAGGCAAAATTGGCTCGGGGTTAACGCTTACCTTTCTGTCGCAGAGCAGCGTAATATTAGATAATGCAAAAAAGAAGTACGTCGGAGTTAATTGTAAAGCACATCGTAAAGCTAATTCAATTCTGTGTGCATCATTGAAAATCCTGTCCGGAAGAAATCTAAACGCGGTCCGAATCAAGATGCAAATTAATCTTGTGTACTATTTGTAAAAGCAAACTCATAGAAAATACCAGTGATCCAGAAGCTAATACTTTAACGTGATATGATATTTCAAATGCGTTTAATATCAACCATATTAAAATAGATCCAAAGAGATCCAGAAATGGCAGGCAGAATAGATCCAAGGGATGGGAGGTTGTAATTGGTTGTAGCATCAACCTCGCCGTCTACTAGGATCTAAATTTTATGATCCAGACTGGAGTACAGACGATTAAACCGGAATTATTCTGATCCGAGATCTCTGGATATTTTCGTGTCCTGCGAGCGTGGATGTAGACTCGGTCGGGTCGGTTCTTTGCGACGGCCGATGCGAT